TATGTTTCGCTTTTTTATTCAATTTTTATTGGATTCACAAATCGTTCGCGCATTTTGCAGGTACGATACGCCATGGGATCGAAAATACCGTCCATTGCCAAGGTGGACAAGTTGTAGAAGCAATGCTAGTAGCGCTTCGCCACCAGATACATCTTCCACCACAACCGGATCGTCGTCACAGCACTCAAAATCTACAAAAGTAATCATTGGAAATGTTCTGCACGAGGTCGATTCGCCTGATTCCTCAATTTATGAGCGGCCTGAAGACAGAAGCCTCGGTTCCGTATAGTTATGACAGCGGCCATCCATTTGCTTGTTGACTGTAGTGGGGGAATTAGCCGGTTCTCCAGGTATTGGTCACTGCCAAAATCGACGTGAGTTGGGATGCTCCCAGATATCAGACGCAGCTACGCCAGTTTCTTGTATACTTCCAGTTAATGCTCACCACCTGTTCGATGTATGTGCGCCACCTTTTCGTTAACCACTCCAGCAGTCGCTTTCTCTTTGGTACCATTCAGTAATTCACGGCGTGCGACCTATTTCTTTGGGGTATCTAAAATGTCCTGCACATTGGATTGCTTTCCTAATACGTGGTAGCACTGGGGTTCTCCACATCGTTCATTTGACTTAGGGCTCCGAGTGAAAGAATAGAGTACTTTCGATTCTCGTAAGGCTTACTAGATGCGAACATTCAAGCTCAGGTGGCGAAAGTATTCATTCCCCATCCAGGATTTAAATGTCCACTTAACCATCTTTGGATTCACATCGGTTAGTTTCCTTTTTCTGAGAAGCAAGCAAACGGATGTTTCTGAACGGGCTGAGCTACGTCAGTGGCGCGTCAATTTCCCGCACATTCTCCGCTAAATTAAGCAGACAAAACAGATTAAAATTTGAAACTGTATCACTGTAATTATATTTAGTGCATTTGGTTAGGCTGCATTACCCTGTGTTCTCAGCCTGTACGTGGGGACGTCACCTGGTGCATGATCTCTTCCGGTAAAACTGTGATGATCTCATTTTGCGCAGTTTTTATTTGTTTTATAGAATTGAAAATGCTGATTTGTTGTTATATTTTCTGTTGTGATTGTTTTCGCTGCCCGAAAAACGTATTTTTTTCCTTATTTTTACTGTAAAATTTCTGAAAACTTTCAGTTTAATATGTATAAATTTTGATTAAAATGTGTTTTTTGAAACAGCGAATCGCTGTACGATTCGCTCATTCGCTTCGAGATGGAAACAGTTGCTGACGTGTTCCATAAGCACAGTTTCTGAACGGATATCTAACTTTGACATGATCCAGTCGGACAGTATCCTGAATTTTACTTGTTAGTACGGTAAATGTATATTCCACTGGGCTTTCCCTGTCTGATCGTAATTTGAGTGGTACATCAGGATCTCTCCAGCATTTCCGGATTCTTTGAGTTTTGTGATGTTTCGTCACTTGGAAAATGCAGCCTTCAGATCTGCTCCAGCGTACTAGTATTTCAGCTCTGTATGAAGTTAATTTTATATAGTTAATTAAACGAAAATTATTTAAAAGAAGGACGGTCCCTCCCTCCCTGAGGCACTGTCACATCGGCTCATCATCATTACCAGACTCTTCACCCCCTCCCCTCTCCCGCGTCGAGCGAGAAACAGATTTCTGGTAAATAACTGGAGATGATGTTAGCGAAGGAAAGAGCACCACTAGTTGTTTACATAAAATTTTTTGGCGCAAAAAGCTGACAGCACGTAACAGATGCGTGCTGTCAGCTCTCCTCCCCTCCCCCCAAAAAAAAGGGGCAGAGGGAGATAGCTGAAAAAATGTTACCCGTGGGGAGGGGGAGCATATAATCGAGGGACTAGAAATTGACAGTTTTTAAAAATATTCCGAGAAAACTCGAAACTCACCGCAAACATGTGCAGCTGCGTAAGGCATGATATGAAACAACTGTAGGTGGTTGTTTCGCTCTGATTAGAAGATAAACTTGGAGAACCGTGCTAGCTTGGAAACCACAGAACGTAGAGAGCTGTAATTTTGCTGAAATATTTTTCGGTCTTTGTGTGGAGCTTGTGTAAGCATAAAATGAGTTTTCGCATATAT